ATTATCTCTACAGTGGCAAATGCTTCAACCGAGTCGCCGCCGTGACCACCGTCACGCCCAACGCCTATCTCGGCGACGCCAATCGCGGCAGACGGGATATCAACAACCAGCTGCTAGGCAACCTGCGCCACGCTGGGTGCCTGACGACTCTCAATTCGAGACAAGCCTTGAACTTTTTTTGGACGATAGTTCAACGAATCAAGATCGTCGATTTGCTGCACTTGCCGCGGTCCCTACGCCAGTGGCTTTGAAAACTTGCACGAACATGTGGATTCCGGTGCTCGTCTCACCACCGAGCATAGGCAGGACGCAATCCTAAGCTTTCTTGCTTCTGTCAGTCAACCCGCGGTATGGCTAGAGTGTCTTGTTCAACTCCGCAACTTTCAAGTGTTTGCGTGTCGTGGTGTTTCGCTCATCTGCACGTCGGATGATGCCTTGACGAGGCTGGGCAACTTGCAGCTTACGGTATGTGGTATAAGTGTCACGATCCGTAAGAATTCAAAATACGAAAAGCTGTACATTGTGGATTTGACCCGTCTTCAGAAAGACGTTACTCATCGACTGCTTCGTGCAAAGGGGGGCAGACATGTTCTGATTACTCCTACGCACGTGCATGGTCAAATGAAGTCCAGGGGACGCACTGTATCCCTTAACAGTGTGGGTTGTCCTGCCGGGCTTTTAGAATTGACCGTTAAACCTCTTTGGGAGATCTATCTACTCGGAAGAAAAGCCGTGCTTTGTGCAGCACAGGCTACGCAAGTTTAACCGGGTAAAGCCGCCATCCTTATGGACTCATCCTCGCCGATCGTCTGACACTTCCGATGCTAAGATGAATGGAAGAGAGGTTGCCGCAGAGCACGAAGTTACAACCCATGACCCCAGCAAGCCTCAAGTTAGGCCATGGGTTGCAATAGACCCAAACGAGCCATCTGCTCATGCTATGCTCACCAGTCGTGCCTCTACTCGTACCGGGACTAAGGTGAAGCGCGTGATCGTTAAATGCTGAACGAGTTTTTACTCCAGTGTGCCCTTCCGGAAGGCGTACCGGAGTGGAAACTCGTTCAGCATTCGAAATACGGGATCATCAATAGCGACGGCGACAAGCACATCGAGCCAAACGGCCTCGTTCCCTGCGAAGACCCCTATTTATTGGTGTACTATTTTTCTGTATCGCCAAATTGCTATGACATTCTTCGGGATGAGGGATTTGACTCGACCCACCTGACGTTGATCTGGAAGCTGGCGAGCAAGACGGGGATGACGATGAAATGATCACCCCGGTATCTGGCTTTACCGCTTCGTCTGACTTTTTACTGCATGAGGAGGAGGCTCGTACTCTGAAAAGTGTTCGTACCCTCGCTCTTAAAGTACAACAAGTCTCGATAGAAGAACTTCAACATGTCATCGACGAGTTCATCGAACAAGATGCTCTCATAATGACATCCCACGAAGACGTCCTGGCAGCTATTCGAGCGCAGCCTGCTTTTTTTCGACGCATCATTCAGCTTACTTCCAATCGTCGAAATCAACTGTTTTGAGCGCACGCGGTGTATCGTGCAATCAGTGCGGAACATGTCGCTGATAGTGGATCTTTGGATTCCCTTGAGTTTGAAAGAGTGCTATGGCATATACTCAGTTGATTCTGCCATCTTCTTCGAGACTATGTTTCCAAGTAGTGAAGTTTAAGCCGCTGCGGTACACAGTGTTATCAGTTACTTGTTCCTGATGGTGTTCGCGCCAAGTATATATATATCGATCTAGTAAAAATTCAAGCTCTTCTTGGACCAATACTGTCCCCCAAACGTCTTCGTTACTCCCCGTTTCCGCTCTAGAATGACCTCAATTCTCTCTGTTTGGCTCGGACTGATGCGGCGAAGATCTTAATTAACGACAATCGTTCGCCCAAGTACGTACTTGAGGCACTTAACGATTTAGCAACTATTTCTTTGCCTAAAACAATAGCTAAAATGCCCTCTAGATTGGTGAACCCTCACCTCTTGAGAGACTTGGACATTCAATAGATTCTCGGTGAACGCGAATGGGTTAAATACAGCCAAACTCGACACGTATCAGCGACTTCTCTCGGAACATCAATCGTCCGTTCCAAGAGACAAAGCTCAGCAAAGAAGACTTACTGCAGACCAGCGAACATTATATCCACGTTCCTGACCCAGGAGCGCGCTGCTTTTTGTCCGACACCACGTCTCCTGTCTTTAACGAGAAACATGGCGTAGGCCTGATATTGTCATCGGCCTCACAGTCTGGCGAAGTTGAGGATCTCACTAGTCAAGTCTACAAGGACCAATCACGCAATTAATATTTATTATTCAAGTCCACTCTTGGTACTCAGACGGTGTATATACATGTTCTTACGCACCTGATGAACCCCCACGACGTGGCGATTTTTTCGTGCACTTTCCACTCACTTCATTCTCAACGACTCGGATGAAGATGGCCAAGCGGCGCACATTGTCATGGGTAGCTTCAACGTCACAATAGACTCTTTTCTGGATCAAGCTTCACCTTCCCAGTTGTACCCGGGCACTGGTAGAGAAGAAATGGGTGATTGGCTTGACGCGTTGGGCTTGATCGACGCATGGTGCTTCGTGCATCAGGATACAAAGGACTACACAAGCCCAACACGCAAAACCGTCTGAATTACTGTTTCTTAACAGTGGATCTAGTACAAAATCATCTTGCTGAGATCAAGCAAGTAAGGGATCGAAAGTGGCATAACGAGGACCACATACCGGTTGGTTTGGGCTACAAGCGAAGTTTATGCCAACAATGAGGCGCGCGCCGTGGCGATGCCCCACATGGCATCTACGAGATCCTAATGTCATCACTTAACTAACCTCGTCGGCGTAGAGACTGGCGGCACGTATTCGAAATTTTGAAGGCGCTAACCCAGGATGTCGTCTGGATGAACACAAGCGTTCCGATTGCATTTATCTTCGCAGTCGATGGGTCGACCCTCGACAAGCTAATGCGCGGGGAATGGCCATGAGAGTTGCCGCGGTGAATGTTACCATCGACCTCTTCAATCTGGCTCCGATCGACTGCAACAAGCAAGCACAACAACAACCACAAGCCGATCTGAGTGCATACAAGAAGACAATTCAAGAACGAAACGCAATGAGCAAATTTGCAGTCGACCTACATCTTAGTGAGCGAGATACAAATGACCTTTTTCGGCCACCCAAACAGGACTGTCTCAGGTCTCCCATCACCGAAATTCAACGTGACGATGGGTGGAGGAGCGACGACCCTGTTGAAATCGAGACGGGACACCGCAGGTTTCGGGGCAACTATTTTAATCGATTTTGCCGGATCGTCATCATCTACGAGATGGTTCATATCAGCCAACTCGCTTTGCGCGAATGCCACGCCAACCAGTGGCAAAAGTTACGCCAGCACAAAGCGTTTGCTCGATGCGCCAATCACAGCATACGACTTATACTGGGCGATCATGAAATTCTCCAATGGAAAAGCGCCGGGCTCCGACGGATTACCGATTGAGTACTACAAGATTTTGCCGAATCTGTGGGCCCGCATCTACGAGGTTATACACGACAATCAGTTATCAAAGAGAAAGATGACTAAGTTTCCACGACGGGCGCACCTTTTGCTGCTATACAAGACTGGAAATAGATCACAGCCTGGGAACTACCGTCCATTGACGCTGCTGAATCATGATGCTAAGCTTGGTCCCAAGATTCTGGTGCGGAGGCTGGAACTGGTGCTTCCTTCGCTGATACATGAAGATCAAAGTGGATTTGTACCTAATAGATCTACCCGTCATCGAACCATCGAACCACTCCTGAATTACTTACGTGCTCGAGTTTCGATGCGGGGGTCGGATATTGACAATTGGTCATCATCGCTACTAGCTTTTGTAGATGTCTACTAGCTGTTAATTCGAACATGAATTCTGGCTCAGTGGTTTGGGTGTGCTGGCTCAAATCTGTTGAGTGAGGGTTCGAGTCCCGTTACGGTTAAAGTTAGGAAGCACTTACTTGGTGTTTGGGGTTCACCAAGCTCCCCAGCAGGAGTCACGTCCCCCGGTCGTCTTTTGATCTTTTGTTCATTGATCATAAGATTTTGAGGTGATGTAACCATAACTTCCTTTTCACGAAAAATTTGGCAAATTTCATAGAGTAAATTATTGGAATTCTCTCAGAATCACTGGATGTGTAGACCTTTGAAGAATGAATGTACCTTCAGCACTTCCACCTTGCGGATGAACTTGATCATGCGCATCCAGAGGTGGTCATCTATGCCGATATCGACTCCGTCCTCGCGTACAATGACGTCTTCGTCCTCCGTCACGATCATTACAAAGCAGTATGCTTTCGTGTTGCGCTTAAATCCGCCCACAATGTATACCCCTGGTACGAGCACGCGTATTCCGTCTTTGTTGGGTAGGACTTTTCTCATTATGGCCATGGGACCTGCTTCATGTCCGTCGTAAAGGTTTACGCGCAATTTCTTCAGGTCGATCTCAACACCACACTT